CCTCAGCTCTTCAGCTCAAGGCTAGCACTCTACCACTTGAGCCACAGCGCCACTTCCCGCTTTTTTTTTCTTTTTGCTTATGTGGTGCTGAGGAATTAAACCCAGGGCCTCAGGCATGCAAGACAAGCGCTCTACTACTGAGCCACCTTCCCAGCCCCCGGTACATGGTATTTTCTAAGAAAATATTTACCAAATAAGGGAAACCATGGGACCTATGTTTCTTTGGGCCTGGCTTACTTCACTTAATATAATTTTTTCCAAGCCTTTCCATTTCCTAACAAATGGGGAATGTCATTCTTTCTGATGGAGGTATAGAATTCCATTGTGTATATATACCACATCTTCTTGATCCATTCATCTACTGAGGGGCATCTGGGTTGGTTCCATGTCTTAGCTATGGTAAATAATGCTGCAATAAACATAGTTGTGCTGGTAGCTTTAGTGTGGCCTTGTTTGTGATCATTTGGGTAAATGCCCAAAAGTGGGATTGCTGGGTCATTGGGGAGCTCTATGTGGAGTCTTTTGAGGAACTTCCATACTGCTTTCCAAAGTGGTTGAACAAGTTTACATTCCCACCAACAATGAAGTAAGGTTCCTTTCTGTCCACATCCCCTCCAGCATCTGTTGTTGTTAGAGTTCTTGATTTTTGCTGTTCTAACTGGAGTGAGGTGATATCTCAATGTTGTTTTGATTTGCATTTCTTTTATGGCTAGGGATGTTGAACATTTCTTCATGTGTCTATTGGCCATCCTTCTTTCTTCTTCAGAGAAGCTTCTCTTTAAGTCTTTCGCCCACTTACTTATTGGGCAGTTGTTTCTTTGAGGATTTGTTGTTGGGTGGTTTAATTTTTTGAGTTCCAAGTATATTTTAGATATGAGACCCTTGTCCGTTGTATGGCTAGTAAAGATCTTCTCCCAGTCCGTGGGCTTTCTATTGATCTTGCTAGCTATGTCATTTGCCCTGCAGAAGCTCTGCAACCTTATACAATCCCATTTGTCGGTATGAGTCAAGCGGAAAAAGTCAGATAATGTGATGTTAGGAAAACGAAACCTCAAATATGTATTTTAATGTTTTTGTTTCTTTCATGCATGTGTTTCTAACGCATTTATAAGATTATTTCTTTGTTGCTTTGTATGTCCCTCCCCCACAGTGTAACCCCCGCTTTCACTATATTTGATGTCAGTATAACATGTGGAGGAGATGGGGACAAACAAGTCGTTTAAGGATCCAGGTGGACCTGTTGCAACAATGAGAAGTACAAAATGTCATGTCAAAACCAGCTTTACAATGTCGGTGGGGGGGGGGGTATGATTGGGTGGGAGGGAGGGGGGAGGCTGGGAAGATAGGTGAAGGGTAAACAAAGGAGGAGACTGCAATGCTTGGTAAGAAATGTATGCATTATCCTGCCCATGTAATTGTAACCCCTCTGTACAGTATGTTCTCAAATAAAATAAAATAAAATTTAAAAAAAAAAAAAAAAGAAAATATTTACCAATATACAAATATCCTAAAATAGGAAGGATATCAATATTCATTAGTTGGTCAACTATCATGGTCAACTATCATATCACCCTTGTAATTGTTCCTATGAATATGACCATGTGTAGATTTTAATGATTAACTTTTAATGTAAAACATTTAGTATGGAAATATTTATAAGATTAGGCCCTGCCTGCTATCCCATTGAACTTTGGTCTACTAAGAACAAAGAAGCCAAAAAGAATTGGAAAAGTAGAGATTCACCACATACACTAGGTTAAAAGACAATTGGAAAGCAATTAGAACAAAAGAGAAATATTTTAGCCATACCAACTGAGAGAAGGGTGAACAAACATACATAAGAACAGGAATATGTTACTGAATATGTTCCTACCTTATATTACCCTGAGAGGATCATGGAATTTATAAATTATTTTCTAAATATCTTTTCCCATTTGACTTGATATGTCTGAGAGTACCCTTGAAAAACTATACATAAATGACATTATGAAAGCCAGCTTTGAAGTCTCAGTAATCAGCTGTACTAGAATCTAGCTTGACTTTTGTTGCAAAGGGTAAAAATTTACCCTATAGTATTTTACATTTTTACAAGATACCACTGTAGGGAGAAACACTGGAAACTATTCAGAGACCTATCAGGCTTCCTTAAGAAATTGAAAAATTGAAACTTGGTTTTAACTCAACCTCCATGGATCTCAGTTTTTAAATTGGAGTCCTTGGTGGATGATAGAGGTCATGGTAGCTGTGCTTAGGCTGCTTCAAAGTATTTGCTCTGCTTCAGTAAAGATTTCCTGGGAATTTGGTTTCTGGTCTGCATCATGAATAAGAATTGCTGATACTATGCAACACACACACACACACACACACACACACAACACACACACACACACACACACACACACACACACACACACACACACATACTTGAATGAAGTTCCTTTTGAAGATCTTGCAGAATAGTGCCAACTGTACTGTTTAAAGCTCATTACAAAAATATTTTAGAAGGGGTAAGTATAAAGGTTAAATGTACACCTATATGATGACATATAGTTTGAACATAACATTATTAGTAGTCTGAATATCACCTGGTTTCTGTTGCTTTTATAATCTGCTTCACAGGCCTACAAATTATAGCTTGCAAGGTGATTCACATGCATTATTATTTTGAATCCAAACAAAGTATATTATTAGATATGCAGAATGGGTGGATTCCCACATTTTAATCTTCAAATTTTGGAAAGCATAGTACTGTAAAAAGAATGATTTCATTCGGATTCATTAAAAGAGGTAGATAAATTATAGGTAAAATTTAGAATTTGTTTTAAATTTGAGAACTATATGAAACACCACAATTCTGAAACTAATGATGTTACATACTTTGTAAATAAAAATAAGGCTAAAGGTCCAAGAACTAGTGGCTTATTCCTGTAATCCTAAGTATTCAGAGACTGACATAGGAGGATTATGTTTTGAAGTCAGCTTGGGCAAGAAACTCTGTGAGATTCTTATCTCCAAAAAAACACACAAATCTTGGCCACTATGGATAAATACACACCTTCAGATTAACCAGGAGGCTAAAGCAGCTAACCACAGCTCCATGTTTGTCTTTTTGGTGGTTGTTTAGAAAAGAGAGTTTCAAGGACTTTCCTGCTGGGGCTGGTCGTAAACCTAAAGCCACAAATTTCAGCCTTCTGTGTAGCTAGGATTACAGGTATGAGTCACCAGCTTCTGGCTCAATCACGTGCTTTTGAGTTGACTTGTTTGGTCAGTTAGCTAACTGTGTGTGTGTGTGTGTGTGTGTGTGTGTGTGTGTGTGTGTGTAATATTGAGTGGGGAACTGAAGGTTATACACACTAGAAATATTAGAAAGGGAAGACTGATTTACAAGGGCATGAGAAAACTGTTCCCACAGAAGCAAACATTAATGAACACATTAAGAATTAGAGGAGCACAGAAAATGTTATCATCCAAATTGCCCAGGTAAGAATGTTAGATGTTAATCCAGAGGATCACAACAGCCCAATATCTATGTACATAGGACCATATAAAATGACGCTAATTGAAATGGACTCTAAGATATCGAGAGCTCCCATAGTGCCTCGCTAGTGGCGGGCATGATAACAAACTCTGGGCATCCGCACGCGTGTTCGGGTCGCCCCTGTGGGGGCTCCACGGTGGTGAGTGGGAGGTTCTGCGGGATCGGGTCCGGGCTGCTGTCTGGCTAGGTGGCACAATGTCGCTTTTCCAGGGCTTGTGGGGCCCGCTGAGGGTGCTGGGAAGATCTGGAGCAGAGCTGTGCACTGGCTGTGGGTGTCGCCTGTGTTCACCTTTCAGTTTTGTGTATTTTCCAAAATGGTTTTCATCCACCTTGAGTAGTTATCCAAAAAAAACCTATGGAACTTTACAGCTTTGGTGCGGGGGAGGGGGGGGGGGGAGGAGGGAGTAGCAGGGGGAGGATGGAAAGGGATGGGAAGGGGAAACAAAGGAGGAGGCTACAATGCTTGATAAGAAATGTACTCATTATCTTGCCCATGTAATTGCAACCCCTCTGTACAGTATTTTCACAATAAAAAAGAGAAAAAAAAAGTCTAAAAAAAAAAAAACCTATGACTTCCAAACCCAGATGGGAAAAATAAAGAAATAATTAGACAAATTGCAGAGGTCTGGAGAGGACTTCCTGAGTCAAAGAAATAAATATATGAAGATGCTTATAAGGCAGACTGGAAAATATACAAAGAAGAAGTAAACAATTCAAGAACAGCTTACTCCAAGTCAGTTGCTGTCTTTGGAAAAAAAAATCATACAAAGTCGTCTGAAAAGGAAAGCATTAATAAAAAAGAGAGAGTTAACATCTCTTGGAAAACCAAAAAAACTCATTCAGCATACAACATTTTTATAGCTGAAAAAGTTCCAGAAACCACAGAGTCATCATCTAAGGAAAAATTGAAGACTTTAAATGAAAAATGGAAAAATATGCCTCATTTTCAAAAGCTGGTTTATTATCAACTTTCTAAAGATGATAAAATTCGTTATGAGAATGAAATGAAATCTTGGAAAGGACGGATGATAGAAGTTGGGAGGAGTGATCTTATACGTCAAAACAAGAAACGACAACCCAAAGCTGCTACTGAGAAACTAAACCTCAAAGAAGATTGAATTGTGTTCATGATGGTTGGGCACAAGAATCCAATTAGGTCTCAATACCTGACATGGTAACATCAGAATAGATAAAGTTAGTAAACATTTTATATTCAGTTCCTTCTTTTTAGCCCATGGACTTCTGCCAGTTGAACATATTTTGTATTCATATTTGTAAAACAGATGAAGGTCATGAAAATTTTTGTGTTCATAAGAACCACAGTGGGTCAAAATCTTTCATGCAAATTTAGCAGGGAATCATTTTACCTTTGATAAAGGTAAATCAGACAGTGAAGTTGTTTTTTTTTTTTTATATATACTGGACGCTGATGGATATTCTTCTTGTCTCCCTATGGAGGCAGGGACTTCTTTTCAAACTTTTCAATACTGTGGAAGCCACAGTGTTCTCTTGATATAATTGTGCCGTTAAAAAAATGCAGCCAGAACTCATATCTGGGTAAATTCTAATTCCTAGGTATAATTAGTACATATTCAGAGTTGATAGCTGTACATGCAAGTACTAGTTAGTTTCAGTAACAATCTTTTATAAAAGGGACTGAGAGATTTATAAACCATTTTCTCATTATCTTTTTCTTTTACTATATTGAAAACGAATTATGTACTAAATCTATGCATATTTTATATAGCATAAAATAAAAATTCTAATATTTCAAAAAAAGATATCAAAGCAAAAAGGTGGTTTGTGTTTTGTTTTTGTTCTTGTTTTAATGTATTATATGAAGTTCTTTCTTTTTTCTTTCATTTTTCCCTTTGGATTATTTCCTTTTGTCACTGATTTCCATCCCTTGTCTGGGGATGGAAATATACATGTGTGTGTGTGTGTGTGTGTGTGTGTGTGTGTGTGTGTGTACAGAGAAAGGAAGACAAATTACAAAGTAGTAAGACAAAGGACAAAGAGTGAACCAATGCAACAATGATACTTACAAGACACTATGTTGGAAACAAACCTTTCAAATTGATGGTGGAACCTGGGGAGAAGGGAAAGAAAGTAGGAGAAAATGAGGAGGGAATAACAATGTTCAACAAGAAATGTACACTCTATCCTCCTTATGTAATGGTAACCCTCTGTACCTCATCCTTACAATAAAATAAAATAAGATATAAAAGAAGGGATAAAAGAAGAATGTTAGCAGAAATTTGGAGAAAGAATTTGGAGATCTCACTTGGCATGTGAGTTACAGGGAGGTCAGGAAGTCAGATTTCATGTAGTTTTAATTAGATTTCCTTTGGCTGGGAATGTGACTCAGTGGTAGAGTGCTTGCCTAATCATGCAGAAAGCCCTTGGTTCTATTCATCAGCACCACACAGAAAGAAAAAGCTGGAAATGTCACTGTGGCTCAAGTGGTAGAGCATAGCCTTGATCAAAAGATGCTCAGGGACAGTAAGCAGGCCCTGAATTCAAGCCTCATGACTGGCCAAAAAAAGAAAATAAAAGAGTCTCCAAAAAATACTTTCCATTTCATGTTATTTGAAACAAAATCAAGAAAATAATTGAACTGTTTTGAGGTTTTCTTGACAGTCTCGTTTTAAATGTGACACATGCCTTACAAAAAGCTACAATGAAGTTCATCTTTAGATAGTAAATATCTGTAATATTTGTCTTCAGATCAGATCATTCATAGTGTAAAATAGAAATGTTAGAAAACATCTTCAGAGTGACCATTTGATTTTAATAGTTGGCAAGCTCTATCCCTACTAACCCTAAAATAAAGGTTTAAATAAGAATGCAATTAAAATAAAATTGAATATTAAAGTCCAAAACCTCCTGCTGTGGCCATGGGCTAGGTTTTATTTCTCAGAAGGGAGCTTTTGGATCTGGACCTCATGAAATCAGCTTGATCAAAATTACCCAATAGGGAAATCCCTTTCTGACTCAAAGCGAGCTGGAGATGTGAAATGAAATAGATAATCAAAATGTTGAAAGGAGAGAAAAAAAGCCAAACAGAGAAATGGGTTTTTTTTTTCATGAGCACTACATCCAAGGCTGCCTTTTTTCAATATCCCAGACCAATTTGGTAGTAACACGGCAGCTATGAACAAAAGTGATATGACTGCTTGAGTTGCTGATTGCAAAGTGACAAAACGTAGCCCTCTGCAGAGCTGGTCTTTGGAAATAGTGACTTTCCAAAATTAGAGCACTTGATGGGAGATTCAGACAGAAAGGGGTGAAAATTGAGCAAAATAAAAGCAAGTCCATTTTTTAGGGACTTGGTTTCCCTTTGTACTTGAGAGTGCCACTGACAGAAGAGCTCTTTCTAGTGTGCCTATCATGTTTGATGTTGTCTGATGAGCTGTTTTTTAGTTGAATTGCTACTCCTAGATTTGCTACTACTTTTCACTCTCTGGGTTTCATGGTACCAAGGCTTCTTAAAAGAAATTATGTTGTACAGCTTTTCTGGCTTCTATACTTCCCTGTATGGTGTCTCATTTCATCTTTTCTTTCAATCAACCTTTAATTTAAGCTCCCTATGCATTTTTTGGTTTATAGTACTACTCTAACTTTATAAAGTTTATAAGTTAGAGATTTATTTCTCTTTCTCTCTATATATGTTTTGTATATAGGTATATATTATGCATATATTATAGTATCTGTATTGTTGATTTTTTTTTGGAAACAGCTCTAGAACCAAGCTATCTGTGGAAAGAATAGATGTGATACAATCATTTATGTCCTTTAAGAAGTTGACTGTGTAGATGTTGAAATAAGGAAAGATTTAAAGCACTCTTAAAACTACTAGGCTTGGGCTGGGAAGGTGGCTCAGTGGTAGAGTGCTTGTCTTGCATGCATGAGGCCTTGAGTTCGGTTCCTCAGTGCCACATAAGCACAAAAAAGCTGGAAGTGGCTCTGTGACTCAAGTGGTAGGGCGCTAGCTTTGAACTGGAGAGCTGGGGGACAGCGCCCACACCTAGAGTTCAGGCCCCACAACAGACAAAAAAAAACCAAAAAACAAACAACTAGGCTTTAAAGATGTAATTGCAATAACCAAACCCTAAAATAGTCAAGCCATGTGAATATTCTAAATATACTCTGACATTTGAGTTCCAAAGGTAATGGTTAATGTGAACAACCATACATAATAATCTTTTAATATTTTTTATATTTATGTGTTTTAGCCTGTGCAGTATATCTTGCTTTTTTGGGGTGGGATGGGGCAGAATACTGTTGTTTGTAGCTACCTGGTGACACTGTTGGCTTATTTATCATGTCTTTAAAGCCTAAAAGCAAACAAAACAAAACACAAATACAAATTTTGAAACTAAAAGCCCAGGAAATCGTTGTCCTGCTGCTAGGCTTGATATGTTTCTTTGAGAGTTCATAATATAAATTTGATATGATATATCTGAACCACTTGTAAAATAACTACCTAGGTATCTTAGAAGAAGTGCAAATAAATGATGGTGGCATTTAGAAGAGTAAAAGCTCATACTCTAATGAAAGCTCAAGGAAACTTCATAAAAATATTTGAGTCTGAGATTTTACAGACATATTTTGGGAATCTAAATCCTTCCAGCATAAGAGCAAGAAATTGAAGCTAAAGCATACAACTTGAAAAACATACAAAATCCATTCACCCAAATTTCAAGCAGTATACCTGGCATAAGTTTAGAATCCAAATGGAACATAAAGAGGTGGTGATGTCTAGCAAGGCAGGTTGAACTTTTTGTCAGGGAGAACAGTTTCTTTCCACTGGAAATGTAATGAAGTGTCCTGGGAAGAAATGAATTAGTTATTTCGAGGTTGCAAGTATTAGTCACTTGAGTTCTCTTAAAAGCTATAAAAGAAATAGACGAGTGAGAACTACATTGTGCTTAATTATATTTGAAACAAGAATTTTGGAACTAGAAAAATGGTATTAGCAAAAGGTAAAAGAAAGACCCAGGAAATAAAGATTGCTTGTAGATCTCATCTTGTATGGATATATGTAACTGACAATGAGCAAAAGCTATAGTTGAATCATGTTGGTTCAATTGAAGTTTGTAGACTTGTAGGACAGGGGTTTGAAAAGATACATCTCTGTATGTTTATGAATAATCACACCTACCAAACTTTAATAATAATAAATTTAAATAATTTATCTTTGTGAAAATTCTCCTTTAGCTTGCTTCCACTTTGGAAAACCTCCATTAAGCTCACTTTCAAATATTCACTTAATTTTTTTTTAAAGTATCTTCTCTTACTGTATTTTAAGAATCACATCTTAAAAATCTATCTGTTGGTGCCCAGTCAATTAGTTCTGTGTGCTCACATTGAGAGAAGATCTACCCCACTCAGTTCACTGATCTGCATACAGTTTCTTCTGGAAGCAACCTCACAGATAGTAAGATTCTAAGAGATTTTTAAAAAGCAGAAAATAAAATTCTTCCTACTACTCTGCCCCCACTCTCTTTTATTCTCTGTCTCTCTTCTTCCTTTCCTCCCTTCCTTCATCCCTCCCTTTGAAGTAGGGAAATCCTTTTTCTTTGTTGCATATCAGAATTTACAGCATCAGTGAACCTGATTCTGAAGCTTTCAAACTTGGACTGAGCCATATTATACTTCTCTCTCAATGCCCCCAGATAGAAAAAGTCTGCCATAGAGTTCCCTGACATAATAACTATGTGAACCAATTCCCCTAAAAATTTTCTTTCACACATAAACAATCAAATATATGATAGATCAATTAACTATTGGGTCTGTATTTCTGAAGAACTTTAAGCAATATAGTCACCATAAACCATTTCTAGTTTTAACATTTGTTCAACTCAGCCTTCTCTTTGAATCATCTTTCTTAGCCTAGATTGTTAATAACTAAGAACTCTGGATTCCCAAACACTATTTTTCTTCTATATTGTGGAAAAATCAGCTTGTGTTCCTTCAAAATTCATAGTAGTTTTACCACCAGTTGCAACCACCATAACCCACCATTCAATGAACTGATATACTTTGTTTTCTAGTGTGTATACTGTATTAGTCATTCTGTCCCATAGCATATCTCAATTTTAGGTTTGTGAAAAAGCCCTATAGATGAATAATTTTTAAATGCCTATGTGACAGATACTGTACTAAGCAATGAAAATGCAATAGCAAAGCATACCTGTTCTCATTGAGTATATATAATTCATCAGAAAGTTGCATGTGATTCCATTCATTTACTCAGGTGGCATTCATTTCTTAAAGAACAGTCACTATGTTGGGCTATGGGTACATAAATAACAAATAATATACTCTATCTGCTCTCAAAGAACCTGTAGCCTAAAGAAAAATCACATTTTGCATAAAGTTTGCCTTTTCATATACTATTATATTGGTTGAACATTTAATTTTATGTGCTGTGTATTTCAGTCTCTTAAGTGAGAGGAAGTTGTGATCCTAGAAAGGAACTTAAAATCTTCTTTAACTGGATAAAATTGTTAATAATTCTTTTAAAATATTAAATGCAATTGAATTCTTCAAAATTAATTTGGACCATGTGGTTATGTTTAATTTGACTTAGGTATGCATATGAGATTGTTGTTGAATATGAATATCATTGTAGAAGAAAACATCATTTTAAATATGTGGTCTCATCAATTGGTCTGTCCAAATTTATTATACTTTGA